GCAGAGTTTAGCGGGGATTTCCCATACCATATTTGTCTGGATACAGCTCTTTTCATGCAGTGCAGGACCACACCCCTAAATGCATTGAAGCAACTGCCATGTGATTGGTTGATTAGATAATTGCATTAATGAGAAATTGAACAGGTGTTCCTAATAATCCTTTTGGTGAGAGTACATATAGTTATTTAACATTGTTGTTTGTAACAGAAACTTATAGCTCATTATTGGGTGTCGTATTTCTGTATTATGTAAACGTGTATATTCGACAATGTCTACCATTTTTGGATATGGTCTAAGTGGATCTAAGCGACTCGTATGACGTAAATATGTTGAGCGCACAAATTGAATGTATATGTCTAATAGGTTCCTGTATAATGCCTTAATGATGTAATGTGTGTTTAATCTCCTCTGAAATATAACCACTACCGTATATTAATGGGTGTAGTTTAGAAAGATTTTCTTTTCTTTAAATTTTGGTGTATGACTGTAATATGTTGAACATTGGTCTTTTAAGATACTGTATTCTGACCGAATAGACAGGGTATTTTGGTTTATTTGGTCTGTCATGAATTGTTATCAACAAAACTGACAACTTCTTATATTTGTCCAATTTGTTTTACTTTTCTCTACATATAATTCTCAGAAATAAAAGAATCCCAGAGATTTTGTGATTATGTGTAATTTCTACATTTTGGTACCAGGAGTAGGGTTTCTGATAGATTAGTTTTACCAATAATATGCGGTAGTGGTAACGACTGGTATTGCAGAAGTCAAAGAACGCTGACCTGTTTAGCGTGTCATCAACGACAGGGAGCAGATCAGATGGTGATGGGGCAGTCTGCGTCAAGATGGCCTCTGTATATAGAGGACCGTAGACTGATTTTCAGCAAAAATATCCTTTGTTTGTACTAGAAAGACTGAGTAATTACATCAGGACTATTTGTCTGGATAATTTGTTTTATTGAACCTGTACAATATGTCTTGTAATCCAGATGAGGGTAATGCGATAATTGAACTTCATGAGCAAATAAGTGAGCTGAATAGGAGACAAAAGGAAGCCATGGCTACTATTGCTGACTTAAGTCAGAGGCCAACAGGGTCATATGTATATGTTCCCCGAGAGCACCATGTATAACCGTTTAGTGGTGATTTAATTAAAGACAGGAGAACTGTAGATGAGTTTGTTGAAGAAGTGCAACACATTTTGTGGGCAAGAGATAGAACCACTGATGACCAAGTTGATCATATTATGTCCTTACTTAGGGGTCCTGCTTTAGAGGAAGTGAGGTTGTGACTGGATGTTGAGTTCTTTACCTTTTTGAGAGAAGGGTTTAGAGAGAAATGTAGTGCCTCTCAACTCTTGCATACATTCTACAGTCGTAAAGAAGGTGAAGATTTCCGTGACTGCTCTCATGCACTCTCGAAAATATTGAATTCAGTGACAAAATTGTCACCAGAGATAGTTCCTGATGTTAAGCTTGCACTCTGAGACCAGTTTGTTGAGCGTATTAGAGATGATTCACTTCGTAGGGAGCTGCGAAAGTTTGTCCGTGGGAATTCTAGATCAACATTGATGGAAGTGATCGAAAGCCAAGGCTGTGTTCTCTGAAGTTGTGCAGGATGAAACACATTGCTCTTCAAATAATGTACAGGAAAAACAGTCTGTTACATTAGAATACATACTGAAAGTGGTTGCTGAACAGGGCAAGGCTATTGGCGAGCTGACCAATGCAGTTTGAGATCTCACCCTGAAAAGTTCTGCTGAAAGGAATGACAGGGGTGTAAGGCCAAAATTACAGCCTAGATTTACTGAGGATGAGCAACCTGTATGTTTTAAATGTAATGGAGTAGGACATATTGTGAGGAAGTGTACAAATGGATGCCATAGGAAAAATAACGCCCCCCCTCAGAAGTCTACTGAACAGGGAAATGAGCACCCTCGGTTGCTGTGAGCCAGGCCATGCGAGGGAGCAGTATTGCCTCAGATAAGAGGAACACTATAGTCGTGGTGAGATGCTAGAGCGTGCAGTAGGAAAATGTCCTGTGGTGGAGTTAAAAATTGAGGGTGTAACTGTGTCATGCTTACTGGATATGGGTAGTAGGGCTGCTGGATACTGGGGGAAAAAAACACTATTTATTCTTTCTGCGATATATATATTGCGATATTAGGATTTAAAACAATCTAATTAGTTGAAGTCGTCTAATTAGTAGAAGTCCTCATTAATAATGTGGACAGTCAGACTTACGTAGGGCTCCGTTGTCTGACTGGACCACAAATCCATTGTAGCTGCATAATATTGTACCACTGAAAGTTCCATTTCAACTTCTGCCTTGCATTTCTTGTACAGCTAAAGGATGGCAATTTGTGAAAAATAGGTCCTTGACGGTATTATATACCACTTGTCAAGCGACCAGTTCATGTTTTTAAAACCCTCTTTGCTGACTGTGTTAATCGGTACAGCAAAGATCGGTCTTTTGCAAGATGTAAAGTTATCATATAGGGTATTTCTTTTAGGGCTGCAACTAATGATTATTTTGATAATCAATTAATCTGTCGATTACTTTTTCGATTAATCGGGGTGGGGGGGGAGGCAAAAACCAATTCCATTTCCAGCAATTTTTAATAACCCAGTCTGTCTTTGTACAAAGGTTGTTTCCAGCAACTCACATAAAAAACTAATGTATGCTACATTGAGTATATAAAAAAAAAAATTTGTAGCAGCTGAATCAATGTAATGAAACACACAAAATCTTGTTTTATGAAGTGCAACCAGTATGATGCTTTAGATAATGTATTCAGTACTCCAGTTTTTTAATGTAAAAGCACAGATTACCGCTGCTGCTACTAAAAATATTATTACATAATTGTCTAATGTTATTTCATGTTGATACACATATGTGACAGGGGGAGAGCAAGCAAGCGAGTGTGTCTGCATTTATTACGGACAAACAAAGTAAACATTTATTGCGGAGAAAAAGCCCTTTTTGCATTTTACGCTACAAATGTGCCACCTTGCACTCTCCTGAAACGCCATAGACTTTAGTGACTGAGCGACGCAAATAAGACGATTGGTAACAAAAAACCCGTGAACGGCAGGCGGCAAATTTCGTTTTAAAACGTGTCCGGTTGTTTCAGCATACTACACCCGTCAGCACAAGTACGTCGGCACTACGTCACTGATACGTGTTTTTAAGGTTGGTATTTAGTAGCTTTTCAGTCGTTTATGGCATATGGAAGGCCAACGGGGCCAAAACGTCTTAAAAAACACGTAGTTTTTTTACATGCAAAAAATCAACACGTCGGTTTTTTACATGCAAAAAATCAACACGTCGGTTTTTCACATGCAAAAAATGAACACGTCGGTTTTTCACATGCAAAAAGTCAACACGTCGATTTTTCACATGCAAAAAATTACCACGTCGATTTTTCACGGCTAAAGACGTATTTTTTTTACGCCTTCAGACGTCAAAAACAGGCAGAATTTCTCTCTTTTTAAATGAGGACATACACTTAATTATTTTTAAATATGATAAAATATGTGCATGTATGNAGCCCCTTTCTTAATGGAGTCTCTTAGCTGGGACTTTCCTGGCTGAGACAAAGAGTATTTCCTCCGCAATGTCTCATAGTAAGTCCTACAGCATGCTGAATAAAAAAAAGAATTCATATAAGTCACAAAACCAATTAAAATAATTAGAGGGACAATAATAAAGGGGACATGAACATAATTACAATAACAATTCCCCTTTATATATAAATATTAAGTGTTTAAATTACCCTTTATACACTCAGGGTCTGCATCTGCAAAAGTCGTCTTCAATTCCTCCAGCAGATATGTCATTACTGCCTGGTTATGAGGTGAACTTATTCTGTGTGGAAAGAGAGTAGTGTCATTAATTACATTTAAAATGATTACATAAAACCCCATACATAGCATATAAAAAAAAACACTGCTTACCCAGTTTGTGGATCATATGTATGCGGGCTGTTTTCCGAATTATGGAGGCGCCTTACAGCTTCCTGTAACATTGAATTAAAAACGCTTTAGTAGATAAACGCATACATGCATAGGAAACGAAGAATTTTCAGACAACATTGTATAATTCGGACGTCACAAACTGTTAAATAAGCTAGACGCAAGGAACAAAAGCGCTAACTTAGGCTAATGGTGCATTCCATTTGCCCTCGAAACTCGGATTCCGAGTTCAGAATCCAAGATGGCTGCGCCCTTTATCAACAGAAGGGAAAGTTGTAGTTTTATCCTGTTTAAGCAAATCGGATCCCGAGGCAAATGGAATGCAGCATAACTTGGCGAGGTATAATTTTACACTATATTGTCGGCTAACATAAAGCTCAACTTACCGCAATGCCCACGTTATGCGTCCTCTTCACTCTTTTAAGCGCATGGCTTGACTCTTCCTGCGGTCTTTGCTCGCCGAACTTGCGCTCCAGCCCATCAAGACGCTGGATAGCCTCTTCGAGAAGAGCAGTTTGTGCAGCCTGCTTCTTCTGCAAAGCCTCAAGCTGACGAGACAAAGTGTTCTGACCGGAGATCAGCTGCTTCATCAAGTTATTCATACTCAGTGGACTTGATGCTGGTTGCTGACCCTTAGTCACAGGAGTAGAAAAGCTTAGGTTTCTTTTGCACGCCATCACAAGTAGTACTTCGTACTTCCACCAAGTCGCAATTCAGAAGAATAACTTCCGTACACGATGCTGATAATTTAAGTTGTTTTTTTCGCGCAATTGAAAGGACACAGTAATGTCATTGGTTGCACCCGCCTTACGTCACCGACGTAATGCATGGAACTGTTTTTGAGTGGACACTTTACAAATACAACCCTCCCCATTCGATGCTTTCCACGACACCCCGCCCACCCCAGTCAATGAATTGTTTGTATTTATTCTGGGGGAAAATATCATACTGGACATTTTGCCTGTCATCATGGAAGGGCGCTTGAGGTCGTCTGTGGATCTGTTGAGAAGAAAGAGAGCCCGGCGATTTTGTGAACACTACAATTAAATTGTTTCACATGCAAATTTTTATCGTCACAAAAAAATGTTTTTTCGTAATGCAGTTTGGATCAAAGATGGTACAACCCAAGACAACTCAAGAGTGGAAAAAAACACAGTTAGAAGATTATGCACGTGATGAAAGCCTTGATTCGTCAGAAGTGGAAACTTTGTAATTACAAATGCTTGTTTGTTTATACTGTTATTGTGCATTTTCATATTTTTTTGTCATTATCTGTAAATGTAAACCTTCATAATAAAACTGATTCTGAAACAATAATTCTATTCTGAAACAACGTTTGTTGCATTCCTCTTGACTACTATAATCCACGAAGTGTCAGACACATGTATAACAGTAATTTTCACACATTAAAAAAGGTAATCATGTCTATTGAATATAAATTATTTTGAATGATGTGCACATTTTCTCAAAAACACAAATGAAGCTATCCTAGTATTAAATGTGTGTAGTAAACACAATTGTACAGACAGGGTGTTTTATCCAGTTTTTATGTACAATAATGAAGTAGTCCCATGGCTAATCCCCCCACCCGGCTATGATAAAAAAGACAACACCTCTACTTGATAGTCATGAACATATGAAAGGCTCTTACACCTCACAGCCATCACACCTCATTGCTAGCTGTGAGGATTCCTTGAAACTTCCACCAATTCCCGTATACATCCACATACGTAAGGTATCTGGTTGTTTCACGAAATTTCCTTTTGCATGCTACCTTTCCAAGCACTCTACCTCATACATCTGGCAAACGTAGAGTTTAGCGGGGATTTCCCATACCATATTTGTCCGGATACAGCTCTTTTCATGCAGTGTGAATGCCACGTAGAATTAAGGCAGTTCTGAAGGCGAAAGGGGGTCAAACACCGTATTAGTATAGTGTTCCTAAACTCAGTGTGCATACAAAAACACCACAGTTCCTTCCGTCATCTCTCTGCCATTGATGTGGACTGGATACAGTCCAACTGTTCAAGGATGCAATATTTCTAAAAGCATCCCTGAATGAAAACAAGTATTTTAGTATAGAACGTAAATGTTGCAATAATTTATTATTTATACATCATATGTATTGGACACAATTTGTGATTATGGGAATTAGTGTGTAACAATAAAAAATACAATAAAAATGTAAAGTCTTCAGAACTTCCATGTCCAGGTTTGAAATTGTCACATACTGATCAGTGTGGTCATAAACTCTGATGGTTTTTGTAGTCATGTCAAAAACCTGTAAAATATAAATAATATTTCCATTTTTCAAATATGAAAAAGCAGTGGCTACATCATTGTGAAATTGTGGTTCAGTTTGAAGCAGCCTCAAGCACTTGTTAGAAATTTGAGAACGAAGAAAAAACAACATTTCATTAAACATAATTTCTTGTTACCCAAAGAATGAAGTGGTTTCCCTGCTCTGGGTTATCACCAGGTCCAACAATCCTTGGTAAAAGTATTTTCAGGAATTTTGAGGTTTTCTGAAATTAAGCAAACAGGAAACACTGACGTCTGAGACATTTATGAGACTATTATGTTAAACTGGCTTGAGGCATATGCTGAATAAAAGATGGACATTTTCTATTACGCATGTTAATATACCTCAAGCTCTTTCAAATGCTCATTTGACACTGTTGCATCTCTCTGCCAATCCTTGTGCCACAAAATGAATTTGTCAGTGTTCAAGGCCACAACCTGAAACCCAAATTCACATGTTTTAGTCTTTACATAACAAACTAAAAAAGTCATAGGTCAGTTATGAATTGTGTGTGAATAACTTACACCAGTAGTGTCTTCGGCAATCTGAGCAATGCGTCAATTTACAGCCTTTAAACCAAAATAAGCAGATGTTTGTAAATACTCGTAAATAACCATAACTGAGGTGATTCTACTTATGTATATATTAAATGTATAAATAAGACAACTTTTTTTAAGAAAGCTGCTTTACAGCATTCAAACTTACATTATCAGTTAGCCAAAGCATTGATGTACTGCTTGTGTCACTCAACAGATGTGGGGGGAGAACAGATTTCAGGTCCCGCAGATACAAAACGGCATAGTGAGAAATTCTGGCAATGACATCATCATCGTTTCTCTTCTCAGCGTACAGTTTGGAGATTGTCTCCTAATGTTGCAAAAGTACATTTAATTAAAATTGATAGTAAATGCTGACATTACTGTTTTATTTCTTACTGTAATTGAAGGTTGTCTGTGGTGTAAAAATTCCATAATGTTTACCTTGTGTGTCTGCTCAATTGGGAACATTGACACTGAAAACTTCTTCCCTTCCACTGGCGTGCTATCCAATTTTCCTGAGACATCTGGATCTTTGCTCTGTACTTCTCTAGGCTGTGTGTTTGTTTCTGCAATTATTTATGAATATGGTTTACATTACTCGACAGCAGATACTACAGAATAGCTATCATAAAAAACTGGCATATCTAACTGCAGACATTAGCTCAATCTTCACTTCATTACCTTATTCTCCATAAATGAGTTTGCCCTGTAGTCCTATGTGTATGTTTTCAGCTGCACGCCTCTGCATTTCTTTAAAAAATGCAGAATTCTTCTTCATTATGAAGATGGAAGCAGAGACACAGTGAAAACATGTAGTGAGTATCTTTCATTTGGCACAACGAATACCGGCTCGAGGAAAGCTCTCTATTTACTTGTTCTGCTTCTGCAGAGTTGACTAGAGAGGCCAGTTCAGGGATTAGTCTTAGACTGCGCAATTTCTCCTCTGGTCGTTTCTGGTTCTTTTGATGGAACCTATCGTAAAAGCAAAAGTGGTCTGATGTTCCAGTTTCTGGATGTGGACCTGATATTTTGTCAGTTGCTGAGGGTTTTGGGTACCGGGTTTTCATTTTGATGTTGTTGACTCAGTCAAGATGTATCCTTAGTTTTCCATCAGCTGCCAAAGATATGTTCTTTTCATTTGGCACACATACCCTCCCATCGTGTGGCTGGAAAAAGACTCAGTGTTCAGTGCTGGAGGTGGAATATACACATGGGCTCTTCTGGTCCTCTCTAGGTGGTAGCATTCTTTCCCAGGGTTTCCACTTTGAGCAGCTATGCTCATGAAGTCTCTACATTCATCTACTTCACAATCATACAGCCGTGCTGGCAAACACTTTTGTACATGTACAGGAAGTCTCACTCCATGAGAATGCTTTGTTGTCACATAGAGTCTATTTTTGGGGTCAATGCACATCATTGGTTCTTCTCCATCATGCTGCTCCTTTTCATGACTTCTCAAGTTTGAGGTGGTGGTGAAATTAATCCCACAAATACAACAAACCCTAGTTCCTTGTTGGACTTGCTCAGTTGCAACAGTCGACAGAGAAGGTTGTTCCCCATCTGATAATAAAAAGATTAATTCAATTTTAGACATGATTATTTCATTAATAAACCATTATTGAATATTTAAAGAGTTTAACATGATTGAAGAATATGCTATTTTCATTGGAATTTAAGTAAAATTACTAAGCGTAAACATAGGAGCTTGAAGTTTTTTGTTTTTTTTTTAAATGTGTATATAAAAATAAATAATATTTCAGATGGCAGTTTAAATTTGTCAGTGTACTCACCAGAAGGGCTTGCTGTCACCGTCTGACCTGTTGTGGCAAAAAAAAAAAAAGAACAATAAATTACATTAATTATACAATACTTACAAATTGGTCAGAGCTACAAATTGTATAATTTAAAATGTGCCTACCATGATTTTTTAAATGGGATTTGAAATTGTCTGATCTGTTTATTATTGTGGCACATTTTGGGCAATGTCAATGGCTCCTTCTACCACATTTCTGGACAGTAGCATGGTATGGAGAACTTGTCTAGAAATACAACAGAATGTTTTGTTAACAGTTTGTTATTAATATATTTTCTTTATGAACATTTAATAGATTTCTAGTGTCATGACCTGCACGTCCAGTCCTCGTGTGTGCCATGCCCTCCTCGTTAACCCCGTGTCAATTCCCATCGTATCAGCTGTCTTACGTTTATTCTGAGGTCACGTCCTGTATTTAGTCCGGGTTCAAGTCTGTTTCCCCAGGTCTGTCATTGACGTTTTGTCCTTAGTTGTAGTCTGTCTGCCCTAAATAAAACCCGTCTTTTGGATTTCCGCATGTCCGATTCGTCCTTCGCCCCGTCCTGCCTGCTCACCTAACGTAGGACGTAACATCTAGGATTTGCAAGACTCAATGTTCATGATATTACTTACTTGTGACACCCTCTTTAAAGTGTATGGCAAATCTCAGATGCTTTATTGAATAATGATTTTTCGAGGCTGTAACTGAAGAAGAGCAGTAACAACAATCATGAATCACCTCCAAGATCCAAAAAATCCTTTTGCTGAGAAACTCAAATAATCTTCCTGTAAAATAACAACAGAAGATGGATTGATTGGCACATTGCAATCAAGTAGTGACATTAAGTCAGTATGCCAGGGTTCCCGCGGGGTCTTAAAAAGTTAAATTTAAGGCCTTAAAATGTCTTAAAAATGCCCAGATTTTCATCCTAGGTCTTAAATTTAATTTACCCAAGTCTTAAAATTCTTACCTCCGTTCATTCCCAAAAAGCGTTGTCCGCAGAAAATAAAATAGTAAAACGCTGTAAGACTAATCCGTTGGTTGTGTTTTCTGGTCTGCACCGGTGTCTGCATGATAATAAAACTACAAATCCCATTGCGTGATCACTGCAGCTAGGCAAACAAACAACAGTTTGAGAAGGGTCTGGCTGCAGAACGTGCACTTTCAGCCACTGACATCAGGTGCACGCTCAGCCACAACAGGAAGTGCAGGGGAATCAAGCGCTAACGTAGTTCTTGAGGCCAATGTGAACGGTATGTTGTTTTATTATTTGTGTCACATCTGGCGGGCGGGCGAGCAGAAAAGCAGGCGAGCTGAGCCGTAAAGTCGGACGAACAGGGTTTATTACGAACCGGAGGGTTGACAGGCACGAACATCGAGACACTACAATGCCGAATCTGGCATACATGGGGAGATGCGGACTAATATACACAGGACTAATCAAAAGAAACAGGACACAGAGGATCACAGTCAGGAATGAACATGAGGTAATGAGGGGGCGTGGCACACATCGGGATCGGACGGATCGGATCGTGACAATTTGTATTACTGAATGATATAGTTACAAGTTTATTTCATGCCATACATTATTGCAATGTAAATGTTTTTTCTCTGATGACTGCAGTGAATTTTTTCAGTTAAAAGGCAACTACTAGCCAGTTGGCTCACATTATCTTATCATAAAAGAAACACATTTCTACTTTTACAGAGCTTTTCATGGAGTTACCTTGTGAATGTCTTAGTTTCCAGCATATAGTTCTTAGTTGTTCGTGTGGTCTTGAGGAGAACGTTTCTCGGTCTCCTTATGGTAGGGCAAGGCAAGTTTTTATTATCATACACAGGGGTTATTTAATGTGCTTTATAAAAACAAGATTTTAAAAAGTTAAACCAAGACAATAAAAAGCAAAATGGAGATGAAAAAAGACTTATTTGAATAAAAATTGCTTAGGAAATCTAAAAAATCAGATTAAAAGTCACAAGGCTGAAGTTGGCTACTTATTCGCAGCTCCATATTCTGATTTTTCCGGTCCACCTTAAATGCTTCCCTTTTTGTCAGCTACTTCTAGAGGCCCCTGCTCCTTCATTTTAAAACGTCCCAAAAATCTGCCATTAACATCTTATACTAAGTATAACAGAGTGTAAGTAGACTTATTTTGCTGAATTTTTACTGTAGCATTTTCTCATAATCACCTCCTAAACTTGGCTCCACACTCCATTCTCTATATGGGTCGGAATGCATTTTTCAGCTACTTCTAGAGCCCCTGCTCCTTCATTTCAAAACGT